AAACTACTGGCAGTTCCATGAGAGAAAGATGTGGCTTTCTGAAAGCTCCTGTAAAGATTTACAGTCTCAGAAACCCTATGCAGGGTTACTATGAGTCAGAACCGACTCCACGGTACATAATCACCACCATATCTCTGAAAAGGAGCCCTGGTAGCATATTGGGTTATGAGTTGGGCTGCTAACTGCAAAGTCAGCAGTTCGAATCTACCAGTGGTTCCATGGGAGAAAGATAAGGCTTTCTTCTCCTGTAAAGATTTACAGCCTCTGAAACCCTGTGCAGAGTCATTGTGAGTCAGAATCGAACCCACGGCCTATAACCACCACCACTACCGTATCTCTGAATGTGAAAACATTTTGGATTTCCAAGAGAAAAAGTGCTATAGAGATGACCAGGGTAGCTGTCACTAGACTGGCATGTAGTTGTTAGTTACTGTTGAATCAGTTCTAACTCACGTGTGTGCAGAGCAGAACTGTCCCATGGGGCTCCAAGGCTGTGACCTTTGGGAAATAGATCTCGAGGCCTGTCTTCTCAAGTGCTTCTGGGTAGATTTGAACTACCAACCTTTTGGCTACTAGTTGCATACTTACTTGTTTGTCCCACCCAGGGGGAGCAATTAGAGCATTTCTACTTGGGTGGCACTGTAGCATACGCAGTCAACCACAAGGATGGTTTGTACCACAAGGTTGGCGATTCAAACTCAACGACTTGCTCTTTGGAAACCCTATACAGGGTTGATATGAGATGGAAGCCACTCGGCTGCACTTGACAACAACAACAACAACAGCTCTCATATGGTGGGTCTCTGACTAAGTCACTCCTCACTCAGCCCTGCTGTATCCATCGGTATTGGTACCCACCTCTAGGCAACCCCCTTGGTGTTGGAGCCCTTTGTCAGAGCTCTATCCATGGGTTCCCATTTATCACTTAGCTACCACCCAACACCCAAGGAGCTCTGGTAGTGTAGTGATTATGAATTGGGCTGCTAACCTCAAGGTCAGCAGTTTGAAACTACCAGCTGTTCCACGGGAGAAAGATGAGACTTTCTGCTCTCGTAAAGAGTTACAGCCTCAGAAACCCTGTACAGGGTCGCTATGAGTCAGAACGGACTCCACGGCACATTACCACCAACCACCAATACCCAATAAGTCAGTCAACCAATATATGATTGATTGTGTTCATTTTGTTCATTAGTTATTGTATTGGATGAGATTAAAAATACCTAGAAATAGGCTTGTTTTACTTCTTAAGTAATAGGTATATTGGTTGGAGTATTTTTAAAAAATGTGCATGGAAACAATATATTTAATTAAGAGTTAATAAGAGCCAGAAGTTCAGAGGGATCCCTGGTGGTGGTGTGGGCTATGTTGGCAGTTCAAACTCAGCAGCTGCTCCTCAGGAGAAAGATGAGACTTTCTGCGTGCAGTCTCGCAAACCCTTTATAGGGTCACTGTAAGTCCGAATTGTCTCTATAGCAGTGGATTATAGGATTTCAGAGAAGAGAGAGCATTTTGTGGGGAGAAATCTCCAGGTGAAGAGGAGGCTAAGGCTGTAGGCTGAGCAGTGGCCACACCTGTCTCACCTGTGTGTGGCTCTGTGGGCTGTGTTTACTGTGACCGTGCCCTAGGTCATGCCCACAGGGCTGCAGCCATGCTCACAACTGCCAGGACCAAAATACTGAAGATTGTTTTCTTGTCCTTTGGCTGGGGAGAGGTTGACATTCCATTTCCCCCCATGTGCTTTTTCTTATGTGCTTTCTCCAGATGGTGTGCTCCAGAGAGGGCCTTGAGCTTTGGGAAAGGCTCATAATACAAATAAAGTCACTCATGGAGTGGAGTGGGGTGGCTCAAAAGTCAGCTTACCAAAGATGTGGTTTTCAAAACTACCTCTGGGCTCTGTGGAGGAAGCAGGCATCTTGCTCATCTGAAGTCTATGTCCCAAGGCTTTAGGATGAACGGGTGCACCTGGCACACAGCATTTCTGAGGAGGGTAGTATGTTCCCATGTCTGGTGTTTCCTGCCTTCTCCCCAAGTGCTATGTAAAAACTTGTGTGGCAGCTTGGCTTTGTTGTTATTGTTGTTGTTATTATTAAGTGCCGTCGACTCGGTTCCTACCCATAGCGACCCTGTATAGGGTTTTTGAGGAGGCGCTGGGAGCTTGAACTGCTGACTTTGTGGTTCCAACCAACTTAGCGGTCCAGTGCATTAATCTACAGTGCCACAACAGGACTCTTGCAAGTGTGTGGGAGAAGGGAGTTTAGGATAATGAATTGCATTTTCTGAGGGTAATTAGAGGTGGTTCCAACTCACAGTAGGGTTCTGAGGACAATGAGTAGGGGTAAATAAAGAGATTAGGGTTTGAAGACAGGGAATGGGGACAGTGGTGGTTCAGTTGTGAAATTCTCACCTTCCACGAAGCCACCGTACCTGAAGTGCAGCTACCATTTCTCTCTATCAGTTGCTATGTACTATGTGCTGAATATGTTTTAGTAGAGCTTCCAGACTAAGACAGGCTAGGAAAAAAGCTTGCTGATCTATTTCAAAAAAAAAAATCAGCCAGCAAAAACGCCATGGACCACAGGATCTGATTCTGTTATGCCTGGGCCACCATATATCTGGGGTTGATGTAATGGCAGCTGACAACAGTAGCAACAACCCATCCAAAGAAGGGAGGCAGTGTTGAGGCTGACAACAGTGGGGACATGGCTGATATGTGAGGGAAGAGAAAAAGTTAGTGCAGGAGCTAAAACAGAGTCTACTAAGTTTTGTCAGTGCCAAACAGGGAGCATAGAAAGGAAAATTTAGGTACCACAATTGAATGAATTCCAGTCTTCTCTGGTGAACCAAATAAAACATGAGACAGGCCCACTTTGGACAGTGACACTTTCCAATTTCATTCATCTCTGAGGTGCCCTGAGGGCTAATACAAGGGCTGGCAGTGTAGTGTATGCTATCATGGGAAGATCCCATTCAACATAAAGAATGCTCTTTGGTATCTGAAACACAGCCCTTTCAACCCCAATTCCCATCAAAGCTAATAGGAGGCACGTGCATGTGTTTGTGGCCATGTATGTGAGCACACACGTGTGTCTGCATGTGGCATGTGTGTGTGAGAGAGATCTGTGGAGGCGGGAGTATAGTCTAGCAGTTAGCTGTGACGCCTGTGCTTGCTGTAGAAATCTTCCATTGTCTCACTTTGTGACCTTTAATGAGTCATACGCTTCTTTGTTTGCGTATGTGTGAAATGGAGATACTCATGCTTGCTGGTTATTAAAGCAGTTCTCCTGCTCCAGGTGCCTGTGAAACACTCTACTGTCATTATTAATTCAAAGCCCCTCTTCTAGTTTTTTTTTTCCCCCTCTGGATCTTACAAGAAAGGGTAAGGGCCCAGCCTTATTGGGGTGTGCCTCTCTTAGGGTTTAGGATTGCCACAGCGAGTTTTGGGAGGACAGTGACAAGGTGTGTTTTCTCATAGGTTGGGCTCTGCATGTTCCTGATAAGTCTGGCTAACAGACTTTACCCCTGGGGATGAGGCAGCTGCCTGGAGCAGCTGGGGCAGGGGGACGGAGGAGGGTGGAGGGAATATACGTGAGATGTGAGTCAGTGTCATGTTTTGAATAGAGCCACGAGTTGGATAGAGCAGAGGCCTTGGGGGCTAGGGGTGGGGCTTCAGGGACCAGATGGCAGTACAGGAGGCAACCGTCATGGGACAAGCAAGCAGTTGACAAGCTGGTACTAAAGAGGATCTGATGTGTGCTCATCTTAGTATCACATTATTGTTGTGAAGTACCATCAAATCGGTTCCGACTCACAGTGACCTTGTATAGGGTTTCCGAAGAACAGCTGGTGGGTTTGAACTGCTGACCTTGTGGTTCTCAGTCCAGTGCTGATCCTACTAAATACATGGCATCTGTGATACCATTCTCCACCTTCTGGGCCCATGGCAAGCATCACTAATCTATCATGATAGGCTTTCCTTTTAAAAGCCTCCCACTTAACATCCAACTGAGTTTGTGGTAGCTGGATATGACCTTACTTTGGTCCAACCCCCTCATTTTATTATGTATATTTGCAGTTTTTAGAATTCAGTTGCCTGGAGTCTTGAATCTATGGCATATTTATCATCATGGATTCATAAAGTGGCCTCTCATAGCCACTCATTCTTTCATTCTTCTACTTCTTGATCTTCATATCTTACTCTAAATTTTCCTCCCCCTAGCCTTCCTGGTGTGGCGCTGTAGGGTAAGCATTGAACTGCTAACCACAAGGTTGGCAGTTCAAACCCACCAGCCACTTCTTGGAAACCCTGTACAGGGTCACTATGTGTTGGAACTGACTGGACAGGATTTAACAACAAAACCTTCTTTAAACAATCATTCTATTCTATTTAATGACTATCTTTCTATTTGTTTGTGTTCTTATAAATCATGTTGTTGTGTGCCTTCAAGTTGGTTCCGACTCATATGGATCCTGCATAGGATTTCTGAGCTTACAAATCTCTATGGGAGCAGAAAGCTTCTCCTTTCTCCCACAGAGTGGCTGGTGGGTTTGAACTGTTGACCTTGTGGTTAGCAGTCCAACAGGTAACCCACGACTCCACCAGGATCACTTGTTCTGATAAATATGTAACTTTAATTGTATTCTTATTCTGCATCTTCCTATCCTCCCTATTACAATATGTGCTGTAAAGCATACTTCTAATCTCTTGTCCCCCTAAAATGAGGTGATGAGGCTCAGAAAGGGGGCATCACATGTCAGGTGTCACAGCTGAACTAGGCTGAACTGGAAGAGGTTTCCTGGTTCACTTCCCTCTGAGTCACACTAGTATTTCCAGTGTGCGACCTCTCAATCTTCCACAATACCTTGAAGTTTAAGGTTTTTTTTTTTACAATTTGTGAATCTGGGCGCCAGGGCTCATCTGTTTTCTCTCCAGTAACTGTTGTCCTCTGTCCTCGCTTCGTGCAGGTTCCAACTATGGGAGCCCACGCCCAGCTCATGCCAACATGAATGCCAATGCAGCTGCGGGCCTTGCCCCTGAGCATATCCCCACTCCAGGGGCAGCCCTGTCCTGGCAGGCAGCCATCGATGCAGCCCGGCAGGCCAAGCTGATGGGCAGTGCTGGCAACGCGACTATCTCCACGGTCAGCTCCACGCAGCGGAAGCGGCAACAGTATGGCAAACCCAAGAAACAGGGCAGCACAACTGCCACACGCCCACCCCGTGCCCTGCTCTGCCTGACTCTGAAGAACCCCATCCGGAGGGCGTGCATCAGCATCGTTGAATGGAAATATCCTTTGAGCTCTGGGTCTTGCTAATGCTTCTAGGAGCCCTGGGTGTGGGGCAGCCCTCCAAGGCCTATGGACTGGGCTGGCAGTGCCGAGCCTACAAACGGGTACTCCGCCCACTGCATCTGCATCCCTGAGCACTGTTAGTGTGCAGAGCTCCAGGCCCGACCCCAGACTTGAGGCATCAGAGCCTCTGGGGAAAGTCCCCGGCATCTGCGTGTTTAACAGCTCCTGTATATATATATATATTACTGTTTTTTCATACAGCAAGTGATGTTTGAGAAAATGAGCCTTAGAGGTTATGAAGTATCACCATGCCTAACTGAGCCTGCCCAGAGATGTACATGTGTGCTTGGGCTAACAGTGATTCCATGTCACTTTATAACCTTCCGTTCTTCCCTATGTCATTGCACCAGGAGATGCTAGAGGACAGTAGCCCGTGACTTTGACTCTTCACTCAAGGACCTAAAACGGGTTTTCAACCTTGGCTGCACATTAGACTTACTTGGAAAGTTTACAATAAAACAACCTAGATGCCTGAGCTCCACCCAGTCCAGTTATGTACAGAAAGGCTTAGGCATCGTAGTTTTAAAAATTTCCAGGTGATCCGAATGCACTGCCAAAGCTGGGAACACTAGAGCTTTCACTCTGGACTTCCTTTGTTCCATGTGTGTAGAAACCAGTGAATGGGACCTTCAGAGAAAATGCTGTGCAAGATTGGGCTCTCACTGTGGAACTGCAGGCCCCTAGCTAGCATCATAGGAATCAGGAGGTTACAGGGATGTAAAGGACCTAAAATCAGTAGGTCCACCCCTGACTTCTCCCAGTGGACAGAAGTGGCGCTACCATGGTCACTTGTCAGTGAGAGAGCAGGACTAGAACCCTGATACTTAGTGTTGAGTATGTTTAGACTAAAGATGGGAGCATTAGGTTTCATGAATGAGTTTCTGTGGAAAGGTTTGAAAAGTCTTGGGTAGTAGTTGAAAGGTAAAAGAAGACCACCCAAGGGTAGGAGAAAGTTTCTGTTTAGTGTGAATGTTTAAACCCATCAACTAAAAAGTAGCTTAAATAGAATGCAGTTGGCCCATCTGGTTTGAACGGCCAATCATGATTTTAGTCTCCAAGTGACTTGGGGAGACTTGGCTATGGTTAGTCCCTACCAGGCTGCTTTTGTAGCTGCTCATTGCAGAATCCTTGAGTTGGAGAACTAGATGGGCCATGAAGATTAGGTACTGCCTGAGAGAGGAGGGGAGCGAAGCTCAGAGAAGTCAAAGAACTTTCCCTAAATGACAAAGTTAACAGTTTCCCTAGTCTGAAAATGCATGTAGTTTCCTCCCTCTGTGCATCCATTATATGGAAGATGGTACTAGGGTAGATGCTCAGGGATTAATCTAGGTCCTGCTGGGACCCTATGGGACCTCGATTTAGAGCCTGGACATGCATTGCCACCTACTTTCTGGTGGTCAAGGCCTCTTAACCTCTTCAACTTCTTAGCTATAAAAGAGAGTAATCTGCCAAAGTATTATGAGAGTCAAAAATACCCTTTGACATGAAAACACACACAGAAGACCCACCACAGGACAGATGTTCAGAAAATGTTTCTCTGGCCCACCTTTCATTTGCTGGGATGAACCATTCCCTGGCAGGGAGGTATGAGTATAGAATAAAGTTCTGGTTGATGGGCAAAGTCTTGAAAGAGGGCAGGAGAGCTTACTGCCTCCCCAGAAAGCAGTGATACTGAGTACAGGTGGGGGTTTTAGAACTGGACTTGGGTGAGGCGCTGCACACTGCCCAGGAGGATGGAGTCAGGGACTCATGAAAAGACCCTTGACAGAGTCAGCCACCTGTTAACAGTGCAGCCACCCAGTCTGCTGACTGGGAGTCTCAGTCAGGTCAGCTCATTGTGTCCCACCTGGGGCAGAGGGTGCTGCCCCAGCCTCAGCAGCACTACTTGAGCAGCATTCCCAGATGGTCTTGGAAGGGTAGCAGGACAGAGAAGCAGACAGCTGGGTGTGCTAGCGAGTGAGTTCTCCTAGAAAAAGTGGAATCTAATGCATTGGACTGCAAGGTCGGTTTGAACTGTAAAGGCAGCAGTTTAAACTTTCCAGCTGCTCCTTGGAAACCCTATACAGGATCGCTATGGGATTGAACCGACTTGATGGCACTTAATAATAACAACAACAACAATAATGTTGTCCTTAAGAGAAGGCAGTTTTAAGAATGATCTGGTCCCAGAATGCTTCCAAGGTTTGCCTAGGTTCTCTCCTGCTTTTCAGCTGATGACTTCTTACCTGCCCACTAGATGATGGGACTGAAACTAACTGGCTACTGGGCTGAGGGTCACTCTCCTAAACAGGTGGGAATAGGGTTAGAAAGGGCAAAGGGGAGAAGTAAGGCTATAGGAGATCTATAAGTACTGACTCTCTATAAACCCATTACCCATCCTGCCAGGCAACTTGCAGATGGAACAGTACAGGGTTGTCCTTGCTAACGCAGACAGTGGAGCCAGTCTTCCTGGGTTTGAATCCCATCCTTGGGCAAGTTAATGTTTATCTTTACTTGCCTCAGATTCCTCGTTTAGAAATGAGGATCATTGTATATTGTGGTCAGGGTGTTTATTTTGAGCAGTTAGAAGAGCGCCCGCACAGAGTAAACTCTGTATATGTTAGCTACTGTAGTTACTATTACCAACATTATCATCAACATCTCCAGCATGGTCACTTATTATTTGCCCTACTTAAGGGAAAACATAATGCATTAATTAATTATAAGACTAATTAGTAGGCCTGGGTTCTGGTCTTGGCTCTATTTACCAACATGGGATTTTAGAGAGGTTGTTTCACTTCTACATCTGTGTGTTGAGTTGGGAGGTTAAACAGGCCCATTGAGTGCCATCTTTTTTTTATGTCAAAGCACACATAGAAAATTATAACTTTTATGTGACATGCTGGGAGAATGGTCCTTTAGGGAGACCTGTAGTGTTGAGGTGGAAGGATCAGTAACAAAAACACCAGTTAGGAAGCTCTGGACTAGCTAATCACTAAGATTCCTTTTAGCTGAAGAATTATGTAACCCTGGTCCAGGCTTATTTTGCTAACACAGAGGAGGTAGTCTGTTGCAGAGGAACGAGTGCTAGACTTGGTGGTCAGGAAATCTGGGTTCTGAAATTCCTGACTGGTCATTAACTCACTATGGGGCATTGAAGAAAGATTTGGATCTTTGGATCTTGAGAGTTTGGACCCAATGATCTGTAAGGTCTCTTCTTGATTCAAAACCCAAGTTTCTCTGGGAGAATTTGATGCTCTCATCCAGGCATTTCCATCCCTCTTTCTCTTCATCCTCCTCCTGTTGCATTTCACATAGTATGATGGAAACTTGACATTGAGGGGTGAGTAGAGCTTGGAGAATATACACTGGGTCCTTCTTGTTGTATGTCCCCTTTCTTATCTTCAATGGTGGAGTGGAGTGGGTCTCATTGGAAAGGATATTATTAGATCATTTTTCTCTTAAGAATGTATTCTGCTTGGCATTTTGGTAAAGAAATCACGGCTTGGGAACCTCCCTGAATGGACTGTTGATGGTAAGGGAACTCCAGATTGTCCCTCAGATCCCAGCAAGTTTCTGTGGGAAAGTCAGGAAGACCTGGAACTTAAGTATTGGCCACTGAAGGTCTTCATAGACAGAAGAGATTTCACATCTTTTAGTTAAAACTGCCTTAAAGTAAAGATGGCTGCTCTACTTGAAACACACATTACCTATCCTGCCATGCTCTTTGAGATCCCTAGCCCCTGGCCTCTTCTTCAGTTTCTCTAGAAGCAGTTGGAAGATGAGGGAGAAAATAAAAACAAAACAACACTCTAAATTTCACTTTAAAAGATTAAAACTCAAACCTCCCAACTTCGATTAAAAAGATTAGAGATCAATTCTCCTTTATGTCTCTCCTGTCCTGAGCCTGCCTGTTTGAGTTACCATGAGGAAAGGGGTCCCAGGGGGAACATCGAGTCCTGTCAGAGGCAGGCACTGCTCTTTCAAAGCAAACCCAAATACACATGAGGGAAGATGAGGTAAAATGCAATCTAAATAAATAAAAGAAGGGGGAAAAAAGTTTTTAGAAATCTGTTTACTCTGGCACGCGACTGACCTCCACTGCTTTTGACATATTAGGAAAAATTTTGGCGGGGACCCACGAGAAGCACTTAAAAAGGCATATGTTTCTTTTCAGAATACAAGGGGCTTGGAATGCTTTGTTTAAACAAAATTCCTATGAATCTTTGATTCATTTTTGAAAACATGTATAGAGGTATGTATGTTTGTTTCTCTTGTGCTTTCAACGGCATTAACTTCCTTGACTTCCTTCCTCAGACCATTTGAAATCATTATTTTACTGACTATTTTTGCCAATTGTGTGGCCTTAGCGATCTATATTCCCTTTCCAGAAGATGATTCCAACGCCACCAATTCCAACCTGGTAAGTCCGTCTTCCTTGAGTTGACATTGTTTTCTTACCTGATGGGGAGTTGAACTGGAATCACATGGATTCAGGTTGGAATGGGAGAAGAAGTACATGACATTGCAGAGCTCAAGTCTTGAGTGCGATTTTGCTTGTTATTCAAATCAGCACCTGTCTTATTGCAACCTGATTTCAGAAAGAATATTCCAATTAGTTCATAGTGAGCTCTGTGTGTGTGTGAGTGTGAATGTGTGTGTTGAGTAGCAAATCCTTTGAGTGCTACCAAATGTGCTGTGTTAAGTCACAAGTACAGGTGTTAGCAGGAGCGAGCTTTTTATTCTTGGATCATTTGTTGTATTTATTTTGAGTTCCTTCGTTCCATTGGCGGGGTCCGCTCAGGTGACCAACAGCAGCGCAGCACGAGAAATAATTTCTAGGAAGCTTTTAGGAAAGTTTGCTTTTGAAGCCAAGATATTTAGTTCAAAAGGCTTCATTTTTCTTGGGAAAGGCAGCTTTCCATCTGGATTGTTGGGAGGCCAGTGCTGGCAATTGGGGGTTAGGATTTGTCCATGGAAAAAGTGGAGAGTGTGTTTACTTTTGGCAGAGTGTGAAGTCATTACAAAGGCCTTTGCTCCGTCTGGGCATGTGAGGAAAAGAGACCTGGAATGCAATGGGCAAAATTGTGGCACTCTGGGATACCTCTGCTACAAACTAGTTGCTGTCTCCTCTGTCCCTGCAAAGACACTATTCCTTTAACTGTGATTTCCACAAAGTGTGCACCAAAGCCACCATATTGCCCTTGTCCCCAGCACCTTCCTCTAATTAGTGAGACTGGACTGTCTGTTGAGATTGTCTGTAAAAGAAACAGGAGGATTACAGAGATCTCCTCTTTGCTGTTGCCAGTTACTGATGCTATCGTGGCAGTATTTTCTATTTACATTTTTGTCTTTTAACTATCGCATTTCCGGTCCCTCCAACAAATAAATCTGATGCGTGTTTTAAACTTCTCTGCCGTTTCCCCGTGTCTTGCAACTAGCTACAAGGTGTTTAGTGCCTGCCGGTGGCTGTGTCTTAGGGTGCAGCTTGGGGAGAGGTTCCCAAACTGGACAGATTCCAAAACTGGGCACTGCCTGACTCTATCGGCAGAACATAAGCTGAAGTCCATGCAGCCTTCTCAGGCGTGGCCTCATCTCTTAACAGACACAAAATCAAAATAAACATAAACCAAAGTATCTCACAAATGATCCCAGGAAAAGCAGGTGCGCCTTCTGTTGGTTCTATTTCTCCTCCTCCCGACCCCACCGCTGGTCCTCCCTAAATGTACTCCTTGCAGCTCAACACTGCACTGACCGCTTTTTATAAAAAAGAACTCTGGGTACAAACAAAACTGACTTGCTCTTAAGCCAGTGAAACTCTGGGTGCATCCTAGGCCGATTGAAGGTGGGTGGAAGAGTTTGACTTTATCTTAGGCTCCAGAGATGGCTGCATCCAGCACCCTGCCCTCAGGGTTCACAGGAAGATTAGTAATGTCATGTAAAGAGCTGAGGAAGACTAGGGGAATCTTGGGCTGGTTGGGCACGTCTGGGCATTAAGAGGCTGATGGGAGAGAGTAAGTGACACATTGGACTTCTTGTGGGATTGGAGTGGCATTTATCAGGATGGGTAACACTGGAGGGATGGCGGTTTCTTTCTTTTTAAAATCACACCATGGAGTGATGAAAGTGTTTTAAAACTAGATTGTGTTGATGGTTGCTCAACTGTATGCACTTATTAAAATTCATTGAACAAGATACTTCTTAACATGAGTTATGGTCTGTAAATTCGACCTCAATAAAGATTTTTTTTTTTTTTAAAGGTTAACACCCGCATACAAGCCTGGGCTTCCCAAACCTCTTATCACTACGCTTCTGTTGCCTGTTGCTCCTCTGTTCTTTCCAAATGAAGGATGAGATTAGAGTGGTGGCCGGAGGGAGGCGCTGGGGGCCGTCAGTGAACCTGGTCAATGATGTTACCCTGTGGATTTGGAGAATACAGGAGAGAGTGTGGGAATTTGAGGAGGGGCTTTGGGTCTTAGGACAATTCTTATTTCTTTCAACCAAGAGGTTATGTGTTGGGCAGTGACTTACTAAGTAAGCAAGCATGCTCCAGTTTTCTTCATCTTGATCAAAGCAAACACTTTGCTCATTTCTTCCAGCTCTGTCCCTGATTTCCTTTGACAAGTACATTATATGTGTGTATATATGTTGTTGTTGTTCTTATGTGCAGTGGAGTTGGTTCCAACTCATAGCATCCTATATAGGGTTTCCGAGGCTGTAAATCTTTACAGGAAAAGAAAGCTTCATCTTTTTCCCGCAGAACAGCTGGTAGTTTCGAACTGTGTGTATATATGTTGTTGCTTTGTGCTATTAAGAGTCGATTCCAACTTACAGTGACTCTGTATAGGGTTTCCGAGGCTATAAATATTTATGGGAGCAGCAACCCTCTTTATCCCACCTAGCGGCTGATAGGCTAAAACTGCCAACCTAGGTTAGCACCACCAACACGCTCTCCTTCTCTATGTTGTTGTAAAGTGCTGTCGAGTCGATTCTGACTCATAGTGAGCCTGTATAGGGTTTTCAAGGAGCGAGTGGTAGATTTGAATTGCTGACCTTGTGATTAGAAGTCTAGTGCTTATGTGCTACAATGCTACAATAACACACCAGAACTCTTCTCTCTCTCATTCTCTCTGTGTATGTGATATATATACAGAAGTTTGTGGTAAAGTAGAATGAATGAAAAGATAATAGAATTTTTCTGTGCATTTTTTGAAGCCCCCACATACATATTTTGACTCCTGGTGTAGTGCTGTAGGATAAGCACTGGACTACAAACCACAAGGTTGGCAGATCAAACCCTCCTTGGAAACCTTGTACAGGGTTGCCATGAGTTGGAACCAACTCGATAGCACTTAACAGCTCTGGTAGCGTAGTGGTTATGAATCGGGCTGCGAACCTGAAGGTCAGCGGTTCGAAACTACCAGCCGCTCCGCGGGAGAAAGATGAGGCTTTCTGCTCCCGTAAGGATTTACACCCTCGGAAACCCTGTACAGGGTCGCTATGGGTCGGAACCGACTCGACGGCACTTAACAACAACAATATATATATATTGTTGTTGTTGATATGTGCCGTGGATCTGACTCATAGTGACCCTGTACAGGGTTTCCAAGGCTGTAAATCTTTACGGGAGCAGAAAGCCTCATCTTTCTCCCGCGGAACGGCTGGTAGTTTCGAACTGCAGATCTTGCAGCTCACAGCCCGATTTGTAACCACTACGCTACCAGAGCTCCTTTATATATATATTTAAGAATAGTCTACACTTAAGAGCCCCTCCCTGGTGGTGCAGTTGGTTAAGTGTTGGGCTACTAACTAAAAGGTCAGAAGTTTGAACCCACTAGCTTCTAGGTATGATGGTGATGTGGGAGTCTGCTTCTGTGAAGATTCTGTGAAGTAGCAGTGCTACTGTGTCCTGTGGAGTCACTCTGAATTGAAATGGACCCGATGGCAGTAGGTTGGTCTGTACTTGCTTCACTGCTCAGCTCTGTGTTCTCTGTCTTCCATTCTTGTAATTTTAATAAAATGGGTGTCTGGAATGCGACCGATATGAATCCCAGTTGTCAAACTCAGGTAGGAAAGTAATGTCACTTTTTTTGGGGGGGGAGGGGGGCTTTTCTGTAACTGAACATAGATGTCTGTTTTGGGATTCTATTTTGCTAGTTGGCATAAACTTGATCTTGGTTAATTCAGAGACCTCAGCCCTTTTCCTGGGGTCTTGGGTCTTTGGTTCATGTAGGTGGTCACTTGTTCAGCAGACCAGAGGTTTTCCTGCTCCATGGAGATCACCAGTGTTGCAGTCTGGATCCTTCTCTTCCTCATCCTCTCTGCAGCATCTTATGCTATCAAATGCACCCCCCTCAACACTTTTTCACTCTTGGCACCTCGGACATATTACTATAATTCTCCTCCTCTCTTTCTTACCCTTGCTTTTCTACTGCTTCTGGCTTCTCTTCCTGCCTCTCCAGGAACTACCAGCACTCTGTCCAGAGCCCTCATATCTTCTTTTTCTCTACTTTCTCCTTGGTCAATACATCTACTTTCATGATTTCAGGTTTTCTTCTCAGATAAATAGTTCCCAGTTTACCTCTTTGGCTATGAGCTCCTTTCCAGGACCCCAGACCAGTATTTCCTGAATCTATAGAGAGACCCCGTTGACCAGTGTAGCAACTCCTGTTACCTGCTTGATCACCTGGAGAGCTTAAACCATACAGACTCCAGAGCCCTGGTGAAGCCGATTCAGTAATCCTGGGGCACGGCCTAGGAATGAGTGTCTTAAAAGTCCTCCTGGGGTAGGGGTGTTAAGCATCAGTCATTTGGGAACTACTGGCCTCTTAGACAAAATTTGTATCAAGCAGATCTGAGTTCACATCCTGGCTCCACTACTTTGTAGTTCTAATCTTAATCTATAGTCATTTTGCCTTTCTATACTTCAGCTTCCTCATCTGTAAATGGAGATGGTTCATCTTAGAGGGTTCTGGGCAAGGGCAAGGCGGACAACTACCAGGAAGTGCCAAGCACTGCCTTGGCACACACTTATAGGGGTGTGTGCCAGATGTCTTGCAAATACTTCCAACAAACATGCCTCGAATAGAACTCATTTTTTCTCTCTCTCATCACATAACTGTGCCCTCAGGGAAAACAAAAGTAGTCCTACACCAATGCTGCTCCTCTTGTTTGCCCTTGGGTTGGTCAGTGACAATGTCATTCTGGCTGTCTTGCAGGGTCACCTTGAACACCTTCTTCCCCTGACTGTGCTCATCTGAGGAGGCATCAAGACATAGAGACTTTCATTGGCAATGAGCATAGCACATTTCACCTCCATTCTATTCTCAGAGTCACTTGTTTAAGCTCTCTGTTCCTTAGTTTCTTCATTTATAAAATGGGAATAACAGTTATAACAATATCTATCTCAGAGTTGCTTTGAAGGTTCAATGAGTCAAGATATGTATAGCTTTTAGAAGAGTGCTGTAGGAAGGGCTGTGCTAGTATTGCTGTTGGCATCGTCATCTTCATCATCCTAATCCAGGCCCTTGTAGCCTTTTGCCTGGGCTGTTATAATTGCTTTCTTCCTGATATTCTCCCTCTAGTTCTTCTCATCCATCTTATGCTTGCTCAGTCATTTGGTCAGTATTCACATGTGAGCTGAGCACTATGTTTGGGATACTGCGAGGGTCTGATCCTGTGTCTCATAGGAAAGATACACATATGGAAGCAGATGGTTACACATAGTAGAAGATCTTACAAGAAGTTAGGGTGGAGAGAGTGAGTGTCATTGAAAGCTTCACATGGAAAGACATATTGGAGTTGCATCTTCTAATAAGGAGGTGATTTCCAGGCCCACTGAGACATTTCAGGCTGAGACATACCAAAGCCATATGGCCCTGCTCCTGGTGTGATGCTTCAGGTTAATGCACTGGACCTCAAGGTCAGTGGTTCAAACCCACCAGCCACTCCTTGGAAACCCTTGACAGCATTGAACAACAACAACAATGATAGTTGTGCTCATTATGATTTGAGAAAGGGATGCTGGTTACAGGTGGATGAAGAATACCATATAGTGGAGGCTTCCTGCCCCACATCAACATTTGACCATGAAGTTTTTAAGAGCAGGTAAATACTAGGTCCATATGCATATTCTAGGAAGAATGCTTTTATAACACGGGGAAGATAACTTGGGCGGAGACCTCACTGTGAGGTGAAAAGGAAATTTTGCAGAAAGTCAGATGTACTGACAATAGAGATGTAGAGGGGGTGATAGGTTTAGGATAGGGCTGGGGAATGTCCAGCCCGAGTGCTGTATAAGGCCTGCAAAATCATTAGGTCTGGCTCTGCAAAGGCAACCGCTAAGTCAGTCCCGACTCATAAAGACTCCATATAGGCTATCACATTAGGGCCGAATTAATTAAATATTTGACCAAATATAGCAGGCTAATTTTTTAGTTGATAATTTGTATGGCCAGCGAATAATGTTATAAATTTTGACAGAATTAAAAAGGTTCACCATCCTGGTTTAAGAGGTAAACTTGCTAGGACTTGTGGTCATTTGGATATTGGTGATGAAAAGGAGAGCTGACTCTCAGGATGGTGATGTGTGTAGCTAAGTACTAGAGCAAGAAGGACTTCATGAAAAGGGTCACATTTCAGGGGAAGGGAGTGATGAGCACACCTGGGATTATTGGGTGAGAAGCCTGTGAAGCTTGCAGGTGGAGATGTCCTGCAGAAGAGAGATCCTCAGAAACAACTGGAGTATAGGTAGAAGAAGAAGCTATAGGCATGGACCACAGCATCAGGGCCAGGATACACGGGGAGAAAAGTTGGCACTCTGGAGGTATCCAACATTTATGGAGCAAGTGGAGGACAAGAGACCAATAAAGAATACCAGGCAGGTTTGACCTGAGTGGCAGAAGAGGAATTAGAGCAAGTGTATGAAGTCTTAGAAGCTAAAGGAAGAAAGAGAGAGTTAAACACACACACACAAGAGAGGAACTTGGTAATTCGAAAACTTGTACTCCTGGCACACTAAAGCTGCTAGCAAGGAGATGGGCCTGCCTGTGAGAAGAGCCTGTGAGGGGATGCTGATCCACATCTGCAGTTTTACTTGACCTGGGACCCTGAAATAATAGGTCTAGAATGAAAATTTTGATGTCCTAGTGTGGCACTGTATAGGATAAACACTGGGCTGCTAACCATAAGGTCGGCAATTCAAACCCACCAGTCGCTCCTCGGAAACCCAATACAGGGTTGGTGGTATCAGTTGAAACTGACTTGGCATTACGTAACAACAGCCACATGACAATTTTTAAGGTTCAGTGATGGAAACAGTTCCCTTGTCATGCCAGACTTGGCTCCCCAACTGCAAGGTTGGGGGTTCAAATCCACCAGCTGCTCCTTGAAAATCCTATACAGGGTCGCTGTGGGTCATTACTGACTTGATGGCACTTAACAACAGCAACAACAAAATGAAGTTTGAGAATTACATTATTTTCATAGTTTTTTTTTTTTTTTTTTAAACTTATTTCAGAGCCCTGGTAGCAAAGGAGAGATGATGGTCCACCTGCAACTGAGGTCCTCAGCCTCAGTGACATGGAACTCATAGGGAGAGATGGCTACATGCAGATTCCCAGGCCCTCCCTGCAAAGATTCCTATTCTGTGAGTCTGGAGGGGGCTCTAGGAGGCTTCATGTTTAGCAGACTCCCCTGGTGATTCTGATGGGGTGATTGTGGAGTTCACCAATGTGTGCGTGGATCCTCCTTCAGCTGTATCTCGTCGCAGTCGGTTTCTGTCTACCCACAAGCACTCTCTCTAGGATCCAAACAGAAAGATGAGACATATCAACTGCCGAGAGGTTTCCCACTCTATTGGGTTCAAGAATAATCTATTTAGCAAAGCAGCCTCACACTGTCACAGAATTAGAAATGATTCTTCTTTTCACACACACTTGCAAATCCACATCTGTGCCTGCTCCTGCTGGCAGTTTCTCTCTCAAACTCGTCGGCTTCTATCCATTCCTTCACAGGCCCTTGCCTTTCTCCTACCTGTTTAATATAATTCCTATTTATTTTTCTAGCACCTTACGTTCTTTTCTTTCCAAGCGATGAAAAGCATTCCAGAATAGATTTTCAAAATCTTTCTCTCGTTATTGAAATAAAAGTGCTTGTTTTGCGCTCCATCTAACATGTGTTTCTGCCCCAGAATCCATCATCTTTGCTATCTTTCCCTTGTGCTAGTGATGCATAACGAAGCCTGGACTCACCCATGACACGGCGTTTCTTTCTTTATTATGCAATGTGTTGTCTATAATACGCTATATCCACCAGTAGCTGTTCCCTAGTACGTAAATTATGTGATGTCTGTTGACCCACCTTTGCAAGCAGAGAGAGTTCATTGTGTGTGGAAAACTCCCAGTTCTCTTCAAATCCTGAGGCCCACAAACACTTGCCTTGAGTTGAAATATTAAGAGAATATATTTGGCGTTTGACCTTGTACAGAAAACAGTGATGTGTACTTTTTGAAGCAAGAGCCAGGCTTTAAGCAGAGATGGAGAGGGGAGGGGAAGATGCCAGAAAAGGACTAGTCTTGGAGCAGAGCTTTTTTTCTTTCTTTCTTTTTTTTCTCTGTGAGAATAGAGAATTCAAGGGGAGTGGGGCTGTCAGAAGGAGCTTCTTTAAGTTACAGGGCTTTAGCTAAACTTGGAAAGGGTTGGGAGGTCAAGTTTTTTTCTATGCATTGTTATAAACTTGAAGTAATAATAAGAGTTGCACCATAGAGTGGTTCAGAGAATCAAATGGATTAATGTAATGTTGAATGCTTAGAACAATGCTTGGCACAGTTGAATGTACTTTGTCCTCTAGAACTCAAAACCACAGGCTGAAAGTCACTGCCCTCAGCTGGTCCTGGGGGTAATTCAGGATCAATGGCATGGCAGGCTTCAGAAGGGTGAGAAAGGAGATCCAAAAAGCTGTTTTCTGGCAACTCAAATCCATCAAGATTGATGTATCTTTGTGTATGTTGTTATTGTTAGCTCCTTTTCCTCCCTCCCTGACTCATGGCCCATCATGCACAATGGAACGAGATGTTCCCCAGTCTTACGCCATCCCTGTGATCAGTTGCATATCATACCATTGTTATTTACACCATTCTTTAGCTGGTTTTGGGAAGTAAATCTCCAGATCTTTTTTCTTAGTCTGTCTTAGTCTGGAAGTTCTGCTGAAACTTGTTCATCATGGTGGTGGTGATGGTGTGCCATTGAGTCAGTGCCAACTCATAGTGACCCTGTATTGTGTTCCCAAGGCTATAAATCTTTCCGGAGCAGAAAGCCTTTTCTTTCTTCCACTAAGCAGCTGGCTAACCTTGTGGTTAGCAACCCAACGTGTAAACACTACGCAAGCAGCACACAAGTCCCCACTGATAGATGGCTACGCATGAGATATATTGGCTGGGGATTGAACCAAGGTCTCTTGTGTGCAGTAGAATTCTCCTACGACTATTCTTAATGTCCTTTATTTTCTGATTACATAAAGAAGGAAATAAGCATGTATTATTGATGAAAGAAGGACCCCAAAGGGAGAGGGCTAGGTGGCTGTGGGGAATCCATGCCCTGTTGCCACATATTTTTTATGGGTGCCTGGATCAACCCCATATCCCTTCCCAGTCAGAACTCAGGAAGCTGGGGTGTCTGAGGCTCCTCCATTCCTGGACTGTGCTGAACTACAGCAGCTCCATGTGGGATCCTGTGTTGACGTAGCCCCAAGATGAATCTGAACGCTGCCCATCAAGCTCTGAGAGGATCTGGTGGCTCCAAGTCAGGCCTCCTACTTGGGAAGTGAGTACACCTGCCAGTTTGGGTTTCCCTAATCTTGTAGAGAGCTGTGATTTCTTTCATCACCAGGTTTGCTTAAGAGCGTGAAGTCTTTTTTGATGGGATTTTCGTTCATCAACAACGATCATAACAAAATGAGATTATTGCTATCTCATATGTATTATGCTAATGTTCCAGACATGCACACTTAGCGGAAATACGGGGTTATGAAATACACTAATAGATACTGCAAGTAACAAGTCACATAGCTTCTACATTTTATATACTAATGCTGTCTTGCGTTGTGTAGTTAGAGGGAGAGCGGAGGTATGGGAGGCAGCAGTGTAGAGATTGTTTTTAAATGAGAGAATAATTAGCTTGACACAGCACATTGAGAAAGTGGTTCTACTCAGTAAGGCCAAGCCTGAATGGTCTAAGTGGGGTGTGAGCGAGGATATGTCTAGAAGCTCCACAGGTTTATTCTCTTGTGGGACCAGGGTTGTGAGGCGCTAACCTGGAAAGAAGACTTAGACTGTGTGGCCTTAGTTCAGTTCATTTAACCTGTCTGTTTGTGTTTCCTCTTCTGGCAAGCAAGAGTTATAATACCTGCTTAGTCGTAACAATTACCATTATTCAGTGACCACCAGGTAGGCACCAGTGCATTGCATACAATATTTCTGACTCATACAACAATAGATTATATTATCTGTTTGTTTTCTTGAAGGGAGAGAATTTATCCATTTTGTTAACCATTGTAATCCCTGTGCCTTGAACAGTAACTGGCACATGTATGGCTCTCAATAAATATTTGTTGAATGAATGAATCCTATTAGGTTGCTGGTTTTGTGACTTTATTTCAAATGAGGAACCAGCATCTCAGAGAAGTAAGGAAACTTGGCAAGCCAGTGGCAGAGCCATAATCGGAACTCCGGACTGTAGGAAGCCACAATTTGGGCTTTTGGCTTAATTCCCTGGAATAGGTAGGATTGCTGTAAATATCAAAAAGTGTGAAAATGTTTTCAAGTTAAACACTCTGTAGAAGTATTAAGAACAAACCAAACTAAACCTGTTGCCATCAAGTTGGTTCTGACTCATAGCAACCATCTATAGCGTTTCCAAGGCTTTAAATTTTTACGAGAGCAAGAACCTGATCTTTTAATCTTGGAGTGGCTGGTGGATTTGAACTCTTGATCTTGCAATTTGAAGACCAGTGCCTACTAACCCACAGCACCACCAGGTTGTTAAGTGCCATCTAGTCAGTTCCAACTCATAGTGACCCTGTATAGAGTTTCCAGAAGTGGCTGGTGGGTTTGAACCGCCAACTTTGCAGTTCATACTGACCTTGTGGTCCAGAACTTATCCTATAGCACCACACCAGGACTCTATCAGGGTATTGTTGTTAAATGCCCTTGTGTCGGTTCTGACTCATAGTGACACTGTATAGGGTTTCCATGGAGTTAACTGGTGGGCTTGAACCACCAAGCTTGTGATTCAAAACTGACCTTGCAGTTCATTACTTATCCTACAGTGCCACACCAGGACTCCCACTACGATGTTGTTGTTGTTGTTGTTAAGTGCCATCGAGTCATTTGCGACTCATAGCGATCCTGTATAGGGTTCTAAGTAGCAGCTGGTGACTTTGAACCACCAACCTTGCGGTTCAAATTGACTTTGCGGTCTAGTGCTTATTCTATAGTGCCACAGCAGGGTATTAGCCATATTAAAAATAAAATGAAACAAAAACCATGAAATGAATGTGGTCAACGTTGGATAACCACAGTTAAACAGGCTGCTTTATTTTAAGACTTGTCCATGCTTGTGTTGTTACCTAAAGCTTCTGAAACAGAAAGACCACAAGTGCACAGCTTTAACAAGCAGAAATTCATTTTCTCACAGTTTGTTGTTGTTATTGTTAAGTGCCATCGAGTCAGTTCCAATTCATAATGACCCTGTATAGGGTTTCAGAGAAGCAGCTGGTGAGTTTGATCTACAAACCTGTGGTTCAAAGTCCTGTGCTGATCCTACAGTACCATACACAGTTAATTGTTGTTGTTAAGAGCAGTTGAGGCAGTTCTGACCCATAATGACCTGTTTAGGGTTTCTGAGGAATAGCTGGTGAGCTTGAACCACCCACTTTTCCCTTCAAACTGACTTTGCAGTCCAGCACATTAACCCATAGCGCCACACCAGGACCCCACACACAGCTTAGGAAACTAGAAATCCAAATTCATATTGGTGGCGCTAGAGGAAGGCTTTGCGGAAAGGTCTTTGGTTCCATTGTATTAGATCTTATCACGGTAAACCACTGAGAATTCTGGCTCAGTCAGGCTGACACAAAACCTTAACTATCATAAAGGTTTTGATACCATAACAACCGAAAGCATGTATTAGTTTTTACCGTGTCCAGAGACTACACTGAGTGCTTTGTGTCATAATAAGTCTATAGATGAATACTGTTACCAAATTTTATGGAAAAGGATATGGAAGCTTACACGGAAGATGAATACTGTTAACAAATTTTACAGAAAAGGACACGGAAGTTAAATAATCTACCCTGTGCGTTGTGGGTTAATGAGCTAGACTGCAAAGTCATTTTAACTGCAAGGTTGGAGGTTCAAGTTCACCAGCTGCTCTGCAGAAATCCTGTACAGGGTCGCTATGGGTCGGAACCAACTCTATGGCACTTAACAACAACAATATATCATAAGGAGTCCTGGTGTGGCACTGCAGGTTAATGAGATGGATTCAAGGTCAGTTTGAACCACAAGGTCGGTGGTTCAAACTCACCAGCCACTCCTTGGAAACCTTTTACAAGGTTGCTATGAGTTGGAACCGACTCAACGGCGCTTGACAACAACAACATGCATCATAAGAATGAAGGGACAATATTGTCCTGAGTTAAGTGTTGTTGAGTCAGTTCCAACTCACAGCAATCCTGTGTACAACAGAACGAAATACTGCCCCATCCTCGCAATCGTTGTTTGATCCATCCATGCAGTCTTTGTGTGTCTTCATCTTGTTGTGCGGCTTCCCGGTTTTTTTACTGATCCTGTACTTTACCAAGCAAGCATGATGTCCTTTTCCAGGGCATGATGTCCTGATACCATGCCCACAGTACTTGAGACAAAATGTTTCCATTCTGGTTTCTAAGGAGCATTCTGACTGCACTTCCTCCAACACAAGTTTGTCTGTTCTGGCATTTCATGGTACTTTTCAATATTCTTCTCTAACTCCATAATTCAAATGCATTGATTCTTCCACGATCTACCCTATTCACTCTCCAACTCTCATATGCATATGAGACGATTGAAATTACCATGGTTTAGTTCAAGCACACATTGGTCCTTAAACTGACATCTTTGCTTTGTAACACTTTAAAGAGGTCTTGTGCAGCAGATTTGCCTAATGCAATAATATGGCTTGATTTCTTAACTGCTGCCTGCTTTCCTGAGTGTTGACTGTGGATCCAAGCAAAATGAAATTGTTGACTACTTCAATCTTTTCTCCATTTTTCATGATGTTATTTATTGTCCATTTGTAAGGATTTTTGTTGTCCATTTGTGAGGATTTATATTGAGGTGCAATCCAAACTGAATGCTGTAGTCTTAGATCTTTATCAGTAAGTATTTTAAGACCTCTTTGCTTTCAGCAAGCAAGGTTGTATCATCTGTATATCACAGGTTGTTAATGAGTCATCCTCCAATCCTGATGTCTTGTTCTTCTTCATATAATCCAGCTTCTCAGTTTATTTCCTCAGCATGAAGACTGAACAAATATGGTGAAAGGATACAACCCTGGCACACACCTTTTCTGATTTTAAACCATTCAGTATTCTCTTGTTTTGCTCTAATGATTGCCTTTTTGGTCTATGTACAGGTTCCTCATGAGCACAATTAGGTGTTCTGGAACATCTATTTTTTGTAACGTTATCTATAGTTTGTCATGATCCATATAGTCAAAAGCCTAGTAATGGTCAGTAAAACACAAGTAAACATCTTTCTGGTAGTCTCTGTTTTCAGTCAAGATCCATCTGATGTCAGTAATGATATCCCTCTTCCTTCTCACATCCTCTTCTGAATCTGCTTTGAATTTCTGGCAGTTCCTTGTTAATATACTGTCACATATGTTTTTAATTTTACTTGCATGCGGTATTATTGATACTGTTCATGGATTTTTGCAGTCTCTTGGGTCACCTCTCTTTGGAATGGGCACAAATATAGATATCTTCTAATTGGCTGGCCAGGTAGCTGTCTTCCAAATTTCTTGGCATAGATAATCGAGTGCTTCCAGTGTTGCATCCGTTTGTTGGAAGCTTTCAATTTGTAGTCCATCAGTTCCTGGAGCCATGATGGCTTGGGTTAGGTGCACCTTTGTCCTCAAAGCGACGTTTTTAAGAAGTCTTTTGCAGCAGATTTGC